TTTTACCTGGTACCCAGCTCAAAGAATTTGATCATATAAAATAGTCAAATTTAAATCAGTTCAGACAGCAAGAAAGACGATTGGTTTCCAAGTAATAAATTCCAACGATGTATTAGGCTGCAGAGAGCCTCTACAGAACAGATAATTTCTGTATTGGTCACATCAATGAGAAGCAAACTATCTGCCTCGGCACAGCACAGCCAAGTGGATTTTATACCGCAACGGGTGTATGCTTCAGATCACAATCAAAATCCTGTGCAAAGTGTCAAGAAGGAAGAATACGACCCACCGAAAATTACAATAAAATTGGCCGAAATGGAGGATCCCTTCCGAAGTAGAGGTGACCGCACATTATATACAAGGATGAGGATTACTTCGAAGAGTTGTGGTATGAGTTTTAAAACCAGAAGAGAGAATGTGCAAGCTAATCACATTAGTTGAGTGAACTGGATGGACAAGTAAGCCTACATATAACATTTCTGACATGGCTGTATCCATTTCTTTACATACGCCGCCTCTTATACCTAATTTTTGCCTTCCTACTATGCATACCACATACTTTTTATTACACAAGATGAATATACTCAACCCTTCCACCGATAAGTGTATCCTTAATAAAAATATTTTCTTCCAAAAAATATTAGAACAAAATTTAGTAGCAAATTTCTATTAAACCAAGCTCGGTTTATTTAACTGCCAAACAACTATTTATGCTAAAGCACACGCCAACAGCTCGACACCACAACACACTACATGCTTCGACTAATTGAGAGCTACTTATTTTAAATAATAAACTCAACGAGTGAGCAGCTTAAACACAGCAAAATTAAAACTTCAACTGCACGTCATTCCGTGCCACAAAGTTAGCGTGCGGTGGGTGCTGAGCTTAAATAAATTCTCTTTCAATTATTTTTCACAACAATATTTTTGTTGGTTTCGGAAAATATGCAAAAGACAAAAAAAAATATATGAACTAAAAAAGTAACAAAACGAAAAAGAAAATTAAGCAAGAATACAAAGTAGCAAAAAATATATAGTGAACAGCGTAGTTTGAACGGTTGTAGACAAGAGTTTGTATCTAATGTTTGTGGCAGTCAAGTTGCATAACGAATGGTAGTGCAAAACGAGAAAGGGAGCAAAAACACCATTTTGCATACAAAAACCTATTTAGATTTGTTCTGCAAACATATACTCGTACATACATACTACGAGTATTTACATACAGAAGCGAATGCCGTTGGGTTGTTACGTATACGCCATGCTGGGCGACGTCGTTGCTTCCTCCGTTCAAAATTGCACGCACACATGCAAATTACATGCAATGCGAGCTATAAATGTGTCCACCAATGGCAGCTACGTGCATGTATAAGTTGTTAATTAAACTTGAATGCAAGTCAATTGCTTGAATTTAGCTCTGCTTCAGAGCTTACAGCAAATGGCTGGAAGTGGTATAAGCACGTTTGTGGATTACTTTCGTTTTTTGGCGAAATTAAGAATTTATTTTTGATTGACATTGTTGGTGCGAATTTTCTTCGCTTATATGTACTTATGTATAACGATATTGATAAAAATATTATAGTTGTGAGTGTAGTTGAGTTTGGAAGTTCCAATAGTTGATTTTCTTTTTCTTACACCTTTCTTTTATTTTAATTTGTTTTATTTCATTTTATTTTATTTTTTTATACTTTTTCATTTTGTTTTATTTTATTAAATTTTAAGTTTTTTAAATTATCTTATTTCATTTTCATTTTTTCTATCTCTAATTTCACTTAATTTTCTTGTATTTTACGTAATTTTATATTTTTTATATTCATTTTATTTAATTTTTTTCTTTTATTTTATTTTAATTTTTATTTATTTTATTTAGTTTTATTTAATTTTAATTAATTTTGTTTTAATTAAATTAAAATAATTAATTTAATTATATTTAATTTTATTTAGTCTTGATTTATTTAAATTTATTTTATTTTCCTGTTTTGAATTTTGTTTATTTTATTAGACTTTATTTTATTATTTTACTAACTATTTTTTATATTATTTAAATTAATTAATTATTAATTTAATTTTTTGGTATTTTTTTTTTGTGTAATTTTATGACATTTTATTTTATTTCGTTTTATTTTTTCTTATTTTATTTGTTTTTGTTTTTATTTGATTTTTTTTCATTTAATACTATTTAATTTTTTGTTTTATCTTATAATAATTTATTTTATTTTATTTTGTTTTATTTTATTTTATTTTATTTCATTTTATTTTATTTTATTTTATTTAATTTAATTTAATTTAATTTAATTTAATTTAATTTTATTTTATTTTAGTTTATTTTATTTTATTTTATTTTATTTTATATTATTTTATTTCAGTTTATGCCGTGAATAATATTAAATACCTGTAGGCATCCGCAATACCAATGTCTATGTTTGTTTACTGTAGCACTCCAGCCCCCGAGAGTCTTATTGTCAAGGTCTATTAGCCACTTATTTATTTCTTAGTTTTATCAGAAAGAACATTGCGCACACACAGATCTGTCTTTATAAGTATTGAAATTCAAGGAGCTTTAAATGTACGAATAAGAAAAGATTTTGAGGGAAATCCCATTTCGCATTTGAAGTCATTAGATTTCTTCAGCTTGATTTCCACTGACTTGTGGTTACTTCATGAATCCAATTTCGTTTAAATTTGAAATATTCCAACTTGAACTGCAAGAAAAATCACTTTGGCAACAAAGCGCTTTGAGATTTCCTCCGAAAATATAAATGTTTTTCTCATCTTCTTGAATTTGTATATTTTTATGACCTTGAGTGGGTTTGTGTGTGCTTATATGTGTTTGTGTGTGTGCGTATATGCGTTTGCCTATTTAAATTTTATTTTGAAAACTTTATCTATTTCCCATCAGTGGGGCTCGGGCAAAAGGACTCACTGAATAATTTCCCAATCTCCATCGATTTATTATTGCCAAAGTTGTGATGTTGCTATTTGTTGCTTTGGTTGTGCGCAGATGGTTGAAGTTGTAAAATTATCTGTTGAACTGTTGAGTCGGATTTTTGTTTTATGTTCTATGTGAAGGCGTTTCATGTTTAATTTTTTTTTTTGGATTTTTATATACTTGTTTTGCTTTCTTTTGACATTCAAAATTATACAACATTGACAATATTGCCAAAGTTTCCCGACCACGCACACATACCTGCACAAGCATTGGTGTAAGTAGTTGAGAATTGAAGGAAAATGGCATAAATTGCTCGTCGTATTGTATGATTTTTAGGCTGAGTTTGCTGTTGGTTTTTAATACAAAACTTTCGTGTTTTATGTGCAGAAACAGACGTTGCGGAGTGCAAGAGCAGCAGGGCGTATGAGTGACTTTTTGTGAGGGAATTAGATATTGAGTAAGACTTTTCGACTTATTTCACCGCATTCTGTCTGGTTCGGTAAGCATTTACACGAGTATAACCTCCGTTTATCCAGAAGTGAAGATTACAAGCTACATTAAAAGATGGTGCAAGAAAGTGCGTCCCACCAGCGAAATTTGCAACAATTACACGGATGGATGAAAAATGGCTGACGAGGTGGGAGCTGGATTACATTGCGCTGAGCTAGACCTTAAGCAAAACTTTAAGCTTCTGGAGTATAGCAATATTTTCCAGGTGGAAGCCTTCCGCACTGGAAGAGCTAGCAGGAAACAGCCAAGAAGACATCAATATATTGCCAAACGGCAGTAAAGGCAATGATCTCACATTGAGTTATATCAGAGAATATCCGTAGCAACAGGCACTAGATGTGGTGGCTGCCTTAAATCGGCTGGATTGCTGTACAAAAGTGCGGTACAATTGGAGAGAGCGTCATCCATCTGGCTACCGCGTCACTATGAGAAGTTCATAGTTCGCTAAATAATGAAATTTCCAAAAGCCCTAAAAGACAAATCAGGGATTACTTTAATAGTTTGCAAGACCGCCTGGATTATGTGCAAAGGCTACGAAGCAAGACGCAACGATTCAAGGAAGCAGCAGGACGGTTATAATCTTAACAACAGGTCATCATGCGTATCGGAATAACCATTAATTACAGAGATACATGGGGGAAGTGCAGGAGGGTTTATTCACATAAACACAGTCTTTTACGTATTCCTACAAAAAAAAAAGCCCGACAGCGTAAAATCACACGCTACCGTGGGTCATTTGGCTCCACCAAAACGAGAAATTATGCGGCCAGAAAGTGTCTCTCTCAATAAAGCCATAGCCACTCGTGTTGTGTCGCATGATGTACCATCTTGAAATGCTGTCCAAGTCCTGTGCTTCAATATCAGGCCATAAAAAGTCGGTTATCATTCGACCATAATGTCCCGAATTTACAGGAAGTGACTCACCGTTAACGTTTCCAAAGAAGTAAAGTCCAATCACACCTCCCGATATATGAGCGCACCAGACAGTAAGTTTTTTTTGGTGCAGAAGCCTCTTTCTCTCGAGAGATAATTTTAGTTATTTACGTATCCTATGAGTGAGAAATGCGCCTCGTCGCCGATCAAAATTTTGTTCGAAAAATCGCCGTCCACTAGTTGTTTTCAAGTACCCAATATATATGTCGTTGGTTATGGTCAGCTGGCTTCAATTGTTGTATGAGTTGCCCTTATAGGGATGTTAGTATCAGTCCTAATGCGCCGTATTGTGCAGTTAGGCAGTCCCAGTCTCTTGAGTACACCGAGATAAGGTCACATTGGGGTCTTCGGCTACAATTTTCTCTGCCGTCGCGTTATTTGAGGTGTAAAGAGCAAAGTGTTGATGCACAGGCCTTGCAATATCTATAAATGTTGCCAACTTTTCATTTTTCTTTAAAATTTTACGAATTTCTGAGGTTACTGTACACTTGTGGATAACCCTCTATGGGCTCAAAAACCAAGAATATATTTTTCAATATTGCTTTACTCAAGATTTAAATTAAATTAGTCAATATTTATAAAAGGTATTTATATCTTTTTATCATACTAATATTACATAATCAAAGCTTACCTTTTTCATAAATGTCATAACATTTGTGGGTAGCATTTTGAAGGCTTCTCCGCTCTCACGTAATTAAAAAAATTAAACGCAATTATTTCGAACTTCGTTTAACCGCCAACGCGTGCTGACAAACGCCGAGTTATTAACACTTCAGCAACCAAAACTGTACGAAGTTGGTCTGCAGTCAATTTATTATAACTTTTAAGTGATTTTTTTCTTTTGTGGGGCTACGCCTCACTTCTACATTCGATCTCTCTCTTTCTCTCCCCTTTATTGGTGTTGCACATGAATGCACAAATTTTTAATTACGAATTTATTGCTGATGAAAGGAGCGAAAGTGTGTTAAGCAAAGTTTGTAAAGTTAAAAAAATGTTTTTTAATTATTATAATTTTTTTTTATAGAATTTTTTTCTTTTACCTTTAAAACTAGATTTTTAATGAAATAATAATTATCGTTGGTTGGCTTAATGTATAGAAAGTTTTTTCCCAAATGCAACAATAACACGAGTGGTAACTTTATTTAATACTGATAAATTTTGGCGGGTAAAATAATATTTTTTTAATTTTTTATTAATTTTTTTTTTTGTAATTTTTTAACCAAAATTTGAGTAAAAAAACTTATTTCCAATTCCCGCAACAAGTTTTCATTACTGCACCACTACATTTTACCGTTAGTTTTGCGTTATAAAAAGAGATGACACACAATCTACTATTATATTTTTGTTGTTATTTTCTAATATCGGCCGCCGCGCTTTTTGCTGAATAATTTTTTTTTTTTTGGTTTTGCTAGTTAAGTGCAAATCGCACTAACACCAGCACACATGTTGCATTAACTGTTGCTCACTTATGTTCAGGCAGTAACCGTTATTATAGTTGGCCAGCAGCGTTTTTCGCATTTAATTTTCTATTTCTTTCACTTTTTATTCCTTTTTGCATATAAAATCCACTATTGCCGCCCTTTTTATACTTTCTGTTGCATACTTTACGACGCTCGTTCACTTGGGTGCTGACTAACTGCTCGTCAATTGTTATAGTGGTTGCTGTTGTTGTTGCGCAGGTTACTTATTCTATTTCTCTCTCTCCTTATTCGCTTTTCCTTTTTTCTGCCCTTACTTAGCTCTCTATTTCCTATATTTATACTCAACCTTTGCTGTTCTCACTGTTATTTTCTTTCAAAAGTAATTTTCACCCGCAGCTTGACTCGTTGTCATTTCGTGACATTGTTGTTGTTGGCGTGTATTTTGCTCACATTTGCATTTGAATGCATTCAACATTTCTCTTTTATTCTTTCATTATTTTCTTTTTTTCTGCAAAATTTGTATGGCACAGTAAATTGAAACTTTTCAAATGAAATTTGCTGCCAACAAGAAAAAAATACATTTTTTTTTCACGCGCAGAAGCAGCCAAAGTTTTGTGGTTGATTGTAAAATTTTATAATCACAAGTGAAGAGTTTTTCATCCGTTAAGCCGCATTTTCAGCATTTTTATTCTGCAATGAAAAAAAAGAGTATAGAAATAAGAAAAGTATTTTCGGTTTTTTTTTTCGGAGAATTTCAGTGAATTTTCATATTTTTTTCAGATTTGGTAATTTTCTTTACTTCCAATGAGACACGAAAGGGATACTGAAATTCATTTGAGCCCAGGCTACATCTAGATTTCGAATGTGGCCTTCGACCAAAAGAGCAAAAGAGTGAGAGGAGAGAAGAATTTACTTTTATACGGCCAGTTCTGCCCTGTGCACCGCTGGTCGCAATTAAAACAGTTGCCGTTGACTAAACCCCGTTAATCTACAAAAACTTGCACATCAGGCTTAATTACCTAGCTTCGATGGACCTCATTAGATTCATGATTTTGGTGTCGCCTATCTTCTTAGGCTGGATATTTTTTCTCTCCTCTTTTATTACAGCCTGACTGTCGTTGAAAATGAAGATTCCTTAACTTTAAGGCTTTCGCAAAAAATGTACATATAGTCGTAATTAAATAGAACTATCCGTCGACAGTGAGTTCAGGATGGCTGCAGTGCGCAGCCGTGTTTTTCGAACCGATGTGCAAACTTTTAGGGAAGGCTGTGTGCCCAAGCTTGAAAGAGTGATTTCTATGAGACTGTGTGCCATTTATTCAGGTAGCTCGTTTATGATGAGTTTAGAAATTGTGATGGAAAGCTTGACATCACAGTCTATGGCGTGGACTTCTTTCATAATTAAAATCTCATGGGTGAAGCGGAATTTCTCCGTGAACTTCCATTTTGTTAAACTTTCAAGAATGATTAATATCGATTTGTTAGTCTTGGATAAAGCGCAGTTGGGTGTTCTCCCGTCAACATGCGATGTGCTCTCGACAGGTGTGCCTTGAGGTGGCAAAACGTATGCTGGGAAATGACTAGTAGCCTAGTCTTTCTGATGTGAGCGTTGAAGAGCTGGGAAGCTCCTTTCCAACTCAAGATTAAAAATTTTACACATCTGGAAGTAAAGTTTCTGGCTCTATGTACATTGCCTAGGTTGCTTTGTAGAAAGAAAGAAATCATCCCTTTCGTTTTTATTGAAATGTTGGCGGTTCTGCGACCGGTCGAGCCTAACTGGATAACTTTAAGAACACAAATAAATACTCAGCGGAAAGCAATACTCCAACAGTTGTCAAAACTTTATTTTCTTTGTGTGAAGCCGCGAAGAAGAAACTCTGGAAAAATGCAGTTTAAACGTCGATAAAATTAAACAGAGAATGGCAAAGTACAAAACGTGGAATTTCCATTTATATAAAACGAAACCGCGCAGTTGAAAGAGCTTTTTTGGGTTGCTAAAGTAGAGCGCAAGAGTTGGAGGATGGCAGAAAAGGAGTCGAAGTCAATCCCTATGACAAGACCAAGACGCTTTAAGCTTCTGGGGTTAGTACCAAACTGAACAGCTCTGCTGTACCAACACCAAAGAACAGGTCAAAGCATAAGTAGCTCCACCAATCGAGAACGCAGGGTGAAGTCAAAATCGAATGCAACCACAGTAGGCAAGAGTTTAACAATTTTACTTCCCCTTCGAAGTGAAATTTTCGGTAACTCTTTTATGCTTTTATGCACTCCTCAGCTCCCAATTTGATTTCTCTCACTGTTAACTGCTCAGCCAGAGTACAGTATCTATAGCCAGAGAGATTACTTAATTGCTGTCAACTGAAAGTGAAATCTTTTAACTTATATTCCGAGTATTTGATTTCCATTTAATTGAATTCTTTTGTAGTCCCTCTAAGGCATTATTACAAGAAACAGTGTGCGCAGGCAAACTGATGCCGGAGCATACACAGTTACGCTTATGAAGAATTTATTCAAATCTAAACCAAACAATGTCCACTGGTGGCCCACAAACAGTATAACCATTTGAATTAAGTAAATATTTTACATTCATTTGCAGCGAGTAAATACGGTTGATGTGGAGCACAGTAAATATATGAACAAGAGCTGGCTAAAAATATACGGTCCTAGATATACCGACATACATATGTGTACGTAGCGTAAGTATGTAACTATATATGTATAAATGCTCGTTAATAAAGTTTGCTTGAATCTTCGACTTTTAAAAATCTTTAAACTCACACTTTATCGAGATATTGCTGTTCATGAGAGGCACAAGCATACACATGAGTAATATTAAACTGGTCCGAAAAGTACTAGTTTATTTACAAAGTTAACCGAATGAATTGGAATTTGTCCAAAATAAAAGAACACAAAATGTGGCCCAAGACTAAACGAGGATTTTCTACCCTTCATTGTGAACTAGTATGAAACTAGTCGCATTCTGACCGAAATATGACCAATGCACTCTTTCTTTCAAAATAAGCTGTGGCTTACCAAAAACTAGTTATCAGTGGTACAAAATAATTCTGAAGGTAGGTAATGTCCGAATGGCATGACAAGGTGATATTGCAATACAACAACCCTCGGACCCATGTGGTTGTAACGATCTAAACTACTTGGAAACGCTGAAACAGGAGATCTTAGGCCGCCCGACTTAACCTCCAGATCATGCTCCGTTCGACTACAGACTTTTACGACCGGTGCAAAACGAAATGGGGATCCGTAGGGATGTGAGTCTTTCCAATAAGCTAGGGAAAGGCCTAAAATTGAATCGAGGACAGAGAGAACAAATTTCTTTGCTAATCGAAAACTAACGGAGAGAGATAGGAGAAAGTAGCCGCTTTAGGTAGACAATACTTCGACTGATGTATTTTCAATATGAAACATTTTTAGAACACAAACAAAGGCACCAAATTGGGTTACAGTCGTAATAATTATTTAATTGTGACTAACAGTTCCAAAGTAGTTTTCAACTAGTTCATTTGGGTGAAGAGATCTTTGAATACATGAGCTGTAAGGAGATGCATTTTTTTTTAACTTTTTGCACCACATGCAAACAAACTTTCTTTCTCCCTTCCTACCACCACATGTACCTCTATAACTCTCTCTCGCTCTCTTTCCCTCTCTTTCTATCTTTTAACTTAACTGTCAGTCATTCACTTACGCACTCAATTTATTCGATTCGCTTTAATCTTGGCATTCACACTTGAGCAGACAGACAAAGCGTGTTGAAAATGAATGGCTAGATGTGCCGGATGTGCACAGAGACACAAATACATATGTAAATCCTTCCGTTCATTGTTAAGGCGTTGCTCGACAACTTGTCTGGCTGCGTGGGCGTGTTATTATTTGTTTACGCACACACATTTATATGGATAGCATATATATAAGTACATATGTTAAATCAATGATATCTTGATGTAAGCACAAACGGCCCTACAAACACACACATATATTTATATAAACACATGCACTTACAGGCAAATAAGAAATAAATCTATTCACATGCTTGCTGATACAGAGCGCATCTCTGGAGAAATTTTCAAATCAAGTGACCCAAATAGCAACTGAACTGATATTTGACCGCTTGAATGGCTTAGTCTACGGATATTTACTGCTTCTTAAACAACTGTGAAGCCGAAGAAAGAATGGCTGTAAGTGGTGTCTTGCAAAAAGTACAGAATCCATTAAATTTGATTGTGGTCAGACCGAAGAATATTTTACAGTGCAAATTCGGCTCATTTGATTACTAGTGATTTCGGTTGGCAAACAGTATGCTATACACAGGGTGGTTGTTGCCTAAGGAAGCTCAAATCTTCAATTAAGGTAAAATAGAAAGATAACATATATTAAATTATTTTTAAATTATTTTAATTAAGTCAAAAAATTCTTCAGCAAAAATAATCTCCAGATACTGATCTATTTTATCAAAATTTGAGCAACCAAACGCTGTTCGCATGAGTGGCTATGCGAGTTATTATTTACTTAAAGGAAAAAAGCAGCGCAGATTGCCTAAAAGTTATATAATTTGTCTGGTGATAAGACCTTTAAAGAGACGAGTTGGTTTGTCAAATTCCGTTTAGGAAGCTTTCCACTCAAAGGTAAGCCAAGTTCGGATCGAACAAGTGAAGTTGATGATGATGAAATCAAGTATCGGATCGTCATATGACTGAGTGTGAAATTGAACAGAAGTTAAGTATACCAAATTCCGTTCGTTCATTGATCTATATTTCTTCAAAAATGATGCTGTTTGGAACGCAACCGCTAATGATAACCGACTACTTGATGTCTGAAATTGAAGCTCTTGAACTTCGGTGAGTATATAATTTATCGTTTTGGGCCAGCCGATTGATCACCAAGATCGTGTGATATCACACCGTTAGACTTTTTCCTGTGAGGATATGCTAAATCTTAAGTTTATGCAGACAATTCCGCTTCAATTCTGGCCTTGGAGCAAAACATCACATGTGACATTGGCTAGTTGCCAGTCGAAATGATCGAATTAGTCATGGACTCAACTGATGGTCCACCTGAGACGTAGCTGCACCCATTATTTGAAAGACATAATCTTCAAATCTTCAAAACATAAACGGCAGGGCATGCGCTTTCGAATGATAATCAACATTAGATTAGAATTATCTGTGTTTTTCTTAATTAAAAAAAAAAATGGTTAACCTCGAAATGGATCAACCTACAGAGAACCACTAAAAATTGTCAACAAAGAAATACTGTAGAAAGGAAAGTGCTAGACCCAGTTTTCATAAAAACATATAAATCTTATAATGATGAATTGGAATAATTTATCAGGCGTACAACCTTTCTTCCGCCGTTTTCCGATAAGTGGCTGTACTGTGAGGCTGGTTGAAATACATAGATGATAATGCCTTTAAAGTGAGTGTGGACAGTGCCTAACGAATTGTCATCGCTGTTTCAGTGACAGTTGTTCTTGTTTTCGTATTATTCACGCTCGAAAATGTCCGTTTATGTGCCTAATTCTCGCCATTTGCGGGAAGTTTTACTGCAGCTGAAGCGCATCGAATGATCTCAGAAACTTATGGTGATGCTGCTCTGAGTGAAAGAACGTGTCGGGAGTGGTTTCAACGAATATTCACAGCGCCAATGTTATGATTTGTATTTGGTGGGATCAGTTC